TTTGCAGAATTTGACATGCTGCAAGACACTGAAGTAGACTCTGAAGGAGAAGTTATTCAGTGTGCCATGTTAGTAGACTCTGAACCTATAAGTACAGAGGAGGCTCTTAAGCAGAAGCTCTGGCTGAAGGCCATGAAAGAAGAACTTGATGCTATAGAGAGAAACAAGACTTGGAAGCTGACAGAACTTCCAAAAGACAAGAAAGCCATCAACGTTAGATGGGTTTTCAAGCAGAAGTTAAAGCCAGATGGTTCAATTGGCAAACATAAAGCAAGGTTGGTAGCCAGAGGATTTCTACAGAAACCTGGGCTGGATTATTCTGAAGTGTTTGCACCTGTAGCAAGACATGAAACAATTAGAATGGTGATTGCAATAGCTGCTAACAGGAATTGGCCTCTGATGCATTTAGATGTAAAATCTGCATTTCTGAATGGTCCATTAGAAGAAGAAGTTTACGTGTCACAACCTCTTGGATTTGTGAAAAAGAATCAGGAAGGGATGGTGTACAGATTATACAAAGCTCTATATGGATTGAAACAAGCGCCCAGAGCTTGGAATCAGAAGATTGATTCATTTTTCAAGAAGCAAGGCTTTCAGAAATGTGAGATGGAGTACGGTGTCTATGTTCAGCATACTTCTGAAGGCAATATGACTCTGGTATGTTTATATGTTGATGATATACTATTGACTGGAAGTTCTGAACAGGAGATAGCCAAGTTCAAGAAGGTTCTAATGAATGAATTTGAAATGACTGATCTAGGCAAAATGACATACTTTCTAGGGATGGAGTTCAGATATTCTGAGAAAGGTATCATTTTGCATCAGCTCAAGTATGAATTAGAACTTCTGAAGAGATTTGATCTGAAGAATTGTAAGATGGCTGTCACACCTTCTGATACAAATCAGAAACTGGATTCAGACTCTGAAGGAAAGGATGTGGATGCTACAACCTTCAAACAGTTGGTTGGTTCTCTGAGGTATCTGTGCAATACCAGACCTGATATTTGCTACTCAGTTGGGATGGTTAGTAGGTTCATGAGTAAACCTAAGTGGTCCCATTACCAAGCTGCTGTCAGGATTCTGAGGTATATCAAAGGAACTCTGAAGTATGGAGTGTTATTTCCCTCTGGAGGAAATAATGAGTCAGAACTTCTGAGTTATTCAGACTCGGATTGGTGTGGAGACAGAGTTGACAGAAGAAGTACATCTGGGTACTTGTTCAAATTTCTGGGAGGTCCCATTTCTTGGTGTTCCAAGAAGCAACCTGTTGTGGCGTTGTCAACCTGTGAAGCTGAATACATTGCAGGTGCTGTTACTGCATGCCAAGCTGTGTGGATTCTGAATCTGTTGCAGGATCTGAAGATTAAGGTAGACAAACCTCTGAAGTTGATGATTGACAACAAGTCTGCAATCAACCTTGCCAGAAACCCAGTGCTGCATGGGAGAAGCAAGCATATTGAGACCAAGTATCATTTTCTGAGACATCAAGTTCAGAGTGGAGTGTTAGAAGTTGTACACTGCAGCACTCAGAAGCAGTTGGCAGATGTTCTGACGAAAGCTATCAAGACTGATCAATTTCTCAGATTAAGGGATGGAATTGGTGTTACAAGTTTTGATGGAATATGAATTAAGGGATGGTATTAGTAATAATTCATATTTTATTATATTATTTTCTTAAGCCCATAAGTTTGTTAGAGGGCATTTCAGTATTTTATCTTATTCTAGTAACCCTAGTTTTAGCCTATAAATAGGGTGACAATCATTGTAACTCTTAATCCTGTTTTCTTCTGCCGTCATTCTCTTTAATAGAATATTTCCCTATTTTCATCATTTATTCTATCTTTGCACCAACATAATCAAATCGATAATAGAGGATCAATAACTTAATTTAATAGTATAATCAGATAGATAATAGATCCTGATTTTAAAATAGTTCTCTTATATTGATATTATCTATGCAATATTAAAATTTTGATTTGAACTAACAACCTATCACTTATTCATAGAGAAAAATTTTTGTCATTAAACTACAATAAAAAAAGTGTCAAAAAAATTCTCAAATCACATAAGTTTTATATATATATATATATATATATATATATATATATATATATATATATATATATATATATATATATATATATATATATATATATATATATATATATATATATATATATATATATATATATATATATATATATATATATATATATATATATATATATATATATATATATATATATATATATATATATATATATATATATATATATATATATATATATATATATATATATATATATATATATATATATATATATATATATATATATATATATATATAATTTTTTATTTTTTATTTTATTTTCACACTTATTTCTTATCCTGACATATCAACAATAACATTATTTTGTGGGAGTTAAAAATCCTTTTCTTAAATATTGATTGTGTGAGATGTTGGATCGAGCTCTAGTATGGTTGAATGATAGCTTCTGGTTCGATAGAAATTAAGCATGAAGTCGAAGTATGTTCGCATGCTGCTGTTGGAGTAATGCGTATTGTAGTCGAAGTTTGTTCTAACATGCATTAGTCAATATTGCTAGGGTTGTTAGCATGTTGAATTGAGTCTTGCTTGTAAGTCCAATTGTTTAAGTTAGCTTGTACTCTAAGTTAACTTGTAATGGGTAATTGTTAAAAAAATCCATTAAGTTAGTGTGTTATTTTTCTTATAAATAAGATGTTAGTTTCTCGATCTTGACATAAGGAAAAATAGGAAGATAAAATCCTAATTTCAAGAGAGAGAGGTTATTTTGTTATTCTTGTATACTTGTAAATTGGTGCGGTGAGCATGAAGAAGATGCCTTCAACAAAGTATGAGATTGAAAAGTTCACTGGAGTGAACGACTTTGGTGTGTGGCGCTTGAAGATGAAAGCCCTACTAGTTCAGTAGGGTTGTTTGGAAGCGTTGAAGAGAGAGACAACCATGGATGTTGCGTTAACGACAAAAGAAAAGATGGACATGATTGATAAAGCCCACAACGCAATATTGTTGAGCCTTGGTGATAAGGTTCTTCGACAGGTAACAAAGGAGACTACAACATCAGAATTATGGGTGAAACTTGAAAGTTGTACATGACCAAATCTCTGGTGAATCGACTCTACTTGAAGCAAGATTTGTATTTATTCAAGACGAGTGAAGACAAAGTATTGGTTGAGTAGTTGAATATTTCTTGATCCTGAAAATATTAATGTAAAGATCAATGATGATATGAGAGAAAAAGATTTGAATAAAAATCAAAATAAGTACAGTAATAAAAATAAAATAAAAAACAATTCGTATATTAATAATACGTGGGAGTAATAAATATTTTTTTTCTATATATTTAACGGAAGGTAACAATTATGCTTACAAAATAATTTAATTAAGGAATAAATAATACATTAAGTCTAAAAATTTATTTATATAATTATTCCTAAAATTTTATTTTAAAGATTTTTATTATAACATTTTTTGAATATTACAATTTCCAAAAAAAAATTTAATATTAAAGCTATTTCAAATAATTTTTTATAAAAATTATTTTTGAGATGCATTTTTGTTTTTATATATTTATTTATAGGATGTTAAAATTAAATTTTTAAATTATAAAAAAAGAATTTAAAAAAAACTTATAATATTTTATAAAACATTTTTATAAAAATTAATTTTAAACATAAAAATAAAAAAAAAATATATTTTTAAAGTTAAAACAAACAAATCTTTAGTGTGTATATATCTTTAACGAGAAGTTTTTTTATACCTATCTCACTTTCTCTAAGGCATTAAGGGATGTCCCCCAAGTTTCGTGATTAAATGATGATCATAATGTTCGGCGTTCTTATTATTGTTCTGTAAAGTCCTTTTTTATCACTTTCTGTAACTCTCGTGTAACTATGGAACTACCCTATAGTCGTTAGGCCGTTTTATACATATCGTCTGAAACCAGGCCTCCAATAACCATACAATTCGGGCTCCGACTTGTCTTATATATAACAATTCAAAACTTATTATTTTTTGTAAATACCTAGCATATTGACTTTTGATGCTCTGCACTGGTGATATATAACTCGACTTTGAGAATTTTGAGATGTACATAAATTCTCTGATCACGAGGCCCAACTAGATGAAGTTTTTGGACAGAAAGTTCTGAAATTCTTTCTCGTTGAATGTGTCATATTTCCATCCAGTCTGGTTTAATCAAACAGTCATCTTATGACTAGTTAACACGTGAAAGTGGGTTTTTAAGTGTAATGATGATGATCTTCTTGTCAGATCTCCACTCTCTCTTTATCATGGTGATTTTTATGGGAAACCAATCGTTTTTATTTCGGTAGTTCGATAGAGTTCCTAACTGTTTTAAATTTCTTTTCATAAAATATAAGACGACTATCTCTTTTTAAAAGAAAAAAATACATAGTGTAATAAATTAATTATATTTAAGTTTAAATATTATTATAATATATTAACAAATATAAATATTTAATACGAATATTATTAAATCTACATTCATATTCATTAATAAATAATATTTAAATATCCATTCATTTTAGTGTGAGTAGCAGTTAAATTATCCTTTTCATATTTTGAAGGATTTTATTCGCAGATATTCGCGATTAAAATATTTTTATCATTCTAAGTAATTCTAAGTAAATCCGGATTAGCCATGGGAGAAACTTAGAATTTTCTTCTTCTTCTTTAATTGCAGTTTTATGCTATATAAGTTTAAATTAATTAAAATTAAAAAATTAATTTTTATTCCTCTGAGTTCCATACCACCCTCTGCCGCAAGCTCGAACCCCCTTCGGCATCATCCCCAACTTCTCACCGAGAAACTATCCCACGTTTTCCTTTCCCCTTTTATCTTGACACAAACCCACTAAGCTATCTTCCATGGAAGACAACAAAGTTTCAATTTTTCTCTGATTGGGTATAAACTGAGCAAACACGCGGTGAAGCAATGCGCAGAGAGATCGCGTTCCTCGCTCAACCCCGTTTCCTCCTCCTCTTCCTAGTTCTCTCAGTTTTCCTCATTTTCGCATTCTCTGCTTCTAAATGGGTATTTCCTTTAACCCTTTTGTGTATATATACTACTGTCATTGTGGATCTGATCTGGGTTATTCATGATGAATTTAAAATTTGATTTTTTGTTTACTTTGTCTGTAATGGATTTTGATTTGCCGTTGCTATTATTGTTGTTGATTTGATGATGGGTGAATCTCTTTTGGTTTGATTGCAGTAGAATGCCATTGCATTATATTTCATTGCTTTATCTATTCAAAATATATAAGCTTTTTGAGTTGTTATTAGGGTAGATTCATGTGTGTGTTCTAGAAGTATGAAACTAGTTAATGGATTCGAACTTATAACTGTAAGGTGTAAGTAAACCAGAAGCTCAAGTAAATGTAGGATATGGTAGGCTATGCCTTGAAAATGCCTTCAAAAGGATATTAACACCCTAAGCATCTGTAGTACTCTACAGGAATCTCTTGAAATATTTGTGTTTTGGCTAAAATTGTTGGCTAAAGGTAAAAGATGAAAGAAAAGAGAAAATGTGGAAAAAGAAGAAAGTAGAAAAATAAAAAGGTAGCTCGCTAGGATCTCGCAATCCTATGCCTACGTATCCTTAATAGGAAGTTAGAGCAATTGTAGTTTAGAACTACGAGGTAAAATAAAAAGAAAAGTGTGCTCGCCAATGATTGGGACCTTGTGCCTATGCATTCTCAAAAGGAACTTTGAGAAATTAGAGCATCCATAGTCCGTGGAACTATAATTTGTTAGGGTTCTAAGAACCAAAACAATAATAAATACAACAAACGAGGGACATGCACAATGATAATAAGTCAACATACAATCCCTCCCCATGGATTAGGTCAACAAGGATCAACAGAAAGTCACAGATACACGGAACAACTACATGTAAATGGAAAGAAAATAAAAGTACAGACACAGTAAGAACATCATGCAAGGTCAGACATACAAGATATTGCAGAATACACATGGGAAAACATCATGGTATCAACAAACAGAATTAAAAACATACATGGAAAAGTATCATGCATAGATAGACAAAGATACATACACGGCAAAACATCGTGCAACACTAACAAACAGTAGGTACACGACAAAGCATCGCATAAAATAGCAGACAATGATACACGGTAAAGCATCACGAGTAACAAATAACAAGTATGCGGAAGAGCATCACATAGTAAATAAATAGAGATACACGACAAAGCACCGCGAATAAAATCCACAAAACAATCATGACAAAGCATCGTGATAAAAATAAACAGTCAGGGTAAAACTTCGTGTAAACACAAAGAACGTAAGCTCAAGACATGGAAGCAAGCAGTCGCAAGATAGAATCGGGCAATAAAAGAAATTATTAATTAATTTAAATATAAATATTTAATAAGATTAATTAATAATTTAATTAACCAAATTAAATAACCATATTTAAATTAATTAACAATTAACATTATTTTTTTGGCATTTTTATTAATTAACAAATTAAAAATGAAAATGATTAAAACAAATAATTAAAAAAAGAAAAAAATGAGAGATCTAAATGATTAATGGGCTAAATACACATACAAAAGCTCACAAACTATTCTAATTTTGATTTTTAACAATATGTAAATAATAATCATAATAAATAATAATAATTATATATATATAAAAAAAATGCTGAAAAGTGTAATAGGGGAAGACGATGATGTCATTCTTTACTCCCCTATTTTGTTAAGAATTTTTTTAAAAGAACAGACTAATGGTCCTGCGACATGTGGCTAAGAAAAGAAATGAAACAAAATTAAAACAAAAGTCTGAATCAATTTCCATTAAGAGAAAAAAGTAGAACCTCAAGATGGCACCTCTCCCTCTTTCTCAGTGATTCGCTCTGAAGACGAACAAAATGGAGCCAAACTCTTAACCACTCTCGGTTGTCTTCTTTCTCGCAACCAAGAGTCTCCAACTGAGCTACGATTTGGAGGGATTATATGTGCACGTGGTTGAGCGGCAGATCAAGTCAACGATGAGGATTTGCAACAGTTTGAGTGTGTATGATGATGGAAGTCCTGCGTTGTGGTGTGGTGTGGTGTCTGGACCCAACAATAACGTTTGGAGTCGGTTGAAATGTTGTTACAGAATTTCAAAAGGGTAAAATAATATACACTCAACGGCTAGTATTGTGTATGTTTATATGGTTGAGAAAGGTTCTCATGTGGTATGACTAAAATGGTGAAGCAAACAAGGTTGCACGTTCTGTTTATTTTAAGAAAAGAAAAGATTTTTGTTGCGTTTTTGGTAGGCTGAGTGAAGGCGAGTTGTATGAGTGTGTTCCTAAAAGTTAGTGAAGAAGAAAATGGTTTATTTCACGATGATTGAGAGGGTGATGGTTACACTGTGGTTTGCTCATTCATTTTCATGGCATGGTTATTGTGTGGTTTTTGAGAGTGAGGATGGTGGTTTTTTTCCCAATTAAATCCAGCAGTGAGGGTATTTATGTGGAAGAAGGTTTTTGAAGTGTGATGGCTTGAAGTGAGTTTTGTGTGATAAACTGAAGGTGAATAAGGTTGTGATAGTCCAGGTTCTTGAGTCAAATCATGCGCAGAAACAAGCTTTTAAAAAAAAGAAGGTTGTGTCCTTTTTGCGCCTTGACATTATTTTCTTTTTTAAAATTAAAGTGAGAGAGGTGTGAGTCAAACGGTTTATCCAAGAAAAGAAAATAATGGTTATGTAAAGGTTTTATGTGCAGAAAAGTGGGTGGTAGCATGCATGCTGCGTAAGTGGCAAAAGACTTATTCAAAATTTAATATCTAAGTCTTTCTAAAAATACAAAAAATAAAATATTATTTAAAAAAGAATAAATAAAAGAATAAATAAAAAACTAAATAAAACTAAATATAAAGATCTGATTAAATAAGATATTATTTAACTAAAATAACAATAAAGTCAATTAAAAAACGAATAATTAGACCGGTATTGAAGTGTCCGATAAAATAAAATGAATACACCAACATGATCAGCGTGAAATATACGAATAGGAAAAATACATCGTTTGGTCGAATTTTAAAATAAGTTTTACCTGCTAAAACGACTTAAACTGTCCAAAAATGCGACCGAAAAGTGGCCGAAAATTTTAAATGAGCACGCCAGGTTAAACTATGCGTAATGCAGATTAATATGACTAACATTTGCAGACTCGATTTTAAGATTTTTCGTCCACTGATTTTTCGCACAGTTGACTTTTAGTTTAACCGATTCGGCTGTAATTCCAACAAGTTTATTCTGGCTGATAAATTAGGCATTATGCAAGATGCAAGAGGTGATAAACTATACAGATGATGCAAAAAGACGTGGGATCTTAGAGTTAAAAATTAGGGTATGACAGTTTTGAAGTATTGCAAATCATCTGCGAGTCCATTAAAAATATAATTTTGTAGAGATTATCATTCTCTTTTCATAAGACGATTTCAGTTATAAACTGGAAATCCTTTGCTTTAATCTGTGCAGCAAATTCACCTTCAACACTATTAAGTGTTCCATCTGAATTCACAGATTTATTACCGTTAATTTGCTTGGTTGATTCATAAGAAGCAACAGAAATATCATTGGTCAGAACATTGACAACCTTTTTCAGAAAAATTGCAAATTTTGTTGTCAACATTTGAAGTGACTTCCCTCAAACTTGAACAGTTTATTAGAAATAACAACCGCAAAAGTACTAATAATTTCTTTGGTAGCCATGGCAGCTTGAAACGTCTTAAATTTGTTGTTTCACGGTTTTGAAAATTAGCCACACAAAAAATTACCGGGTCGAGTCGCAGACTAGGTCGCTCTCTTTAAGACGTTTCGCGGCACTGCCCAAAGTTATGCAAAGTAGTCGAACTATCACGCCGCCTCTAAGATAAAACAACCCAGTTCTATATTGTACGATTACTACTTGCACGATAGATAATCGATATAGAAATACACCCTCTGATGGTACAAAAACCATTCGAATATGGTATAAATACCACTCGTAGTATCTGGTATAACGGTCAGGCGTAATAATTTCTCAAATAAAGAGAAATTCCAATAATTCTCCAAAGAGAATTCAATAATGGTCATTTGACCACTAAAATTGATTTTTCAAAGAAAGAGAAGTTCAAATTATTCTCCAAAGATAATCCAAAAGTTAATACTTGTAATTTCTCAACTCAACTGAGGAGAACTTAAAATATTCTCTAAAATAGAATTCAAGAAAATATTCGGAAAAAATCAACGAGTAGAAAGAAAGTGGAGAAGTTGACGATTCGACGATTCGAAAGACGCAAAGTTATGAGAATGAGGAAGAAAAAACTCAAATTCACCTAAGTAATGTGAGACTAATGAGTTTTTTCAACTAACACATAATGTGAGACTTGACTTAAGGAACTTTTTCAAATTCATCTCCTTATATTAGAAAATTGACATAATGTTCCAACATGATTCATACTCTCATTGTTTTAAGATTTTGAATGATATGCAGTGTAAAGGTCTCTTGGATTCTAAACGTTTAAATCATGGACACTTTTGGATTCTTCGGACACTCCAACAAGTAGTATCAGAGTCATAGTTAGCCTCCGCGGAAGAGTCGAAGTGGAATCTTAGTAATCTTAGTATGGAACAAAGTTAGTGATGTGGATGACTCACACTTGTGGGAAGAATGGTTAATTCAAGTATGACTGATTAAGTTTCATATTGACTACAAATCAAAAAATGTAAAAATATGTAAGAGAAAGAATTCACTACCATCACATTAAAGTTTTTGATGGATATGTAATGTCAAATCTTTTAGATTCTAAAAATTTACTCCACTAACTCTTCTTAAGCTATCATTTGCTTACATGAACCTTGGAGGTTAGTGTGGAGACTATTAGAAGATTCTCTAAGCCTTAAAGATCAACAAACACGGCGGTAACTAAAAACAAGACTCCACTAAAATGCTTTGGAGACTAGCACAACACAACCATAAGAACCATAAATACTAGAAAGATGAACCTAGATGTGGAGATTCATCACCTAGGAGACGTA